GTGGGGGGCGGGGGGGACCGAACGAAAAAGAGAAAAGGAAAGAAAAAAAGAAAAAAAGACGGGGTTACAGCGTATGCTACATTTATCAGATGATCACCGAGATCCCAGGCGCGAAAATCCAGAACAACGTGGCGTGTCGCGTCGTCGGATGGGTCACCACGCGCAACATCGTCGACCTCGGCGCGAGCGGGACGGTACTTATTACTCGCGGCACCCCCTCCCGCGGGCTCTCAGCACTGCGATGTGTATAACGACAATGTCTCACGTGTTAACTCGTGTTACTCGCGATCGCCGCTTCGTCCATTTCGTCGCCGGCGCGGTCATGCAGGGCGTCTCGCGCGCGTTCACGCGCGTGCTCGGAAAGAACGGAACGAAACGGGAAAGAAAAAGAAAAACGGACACGTGCGTGTCAGCGCTGATTTACATATCGTCCGGTGTGTACCGTCGGGACGTGCCGGTAATGTGTATACCTGCATTCGCCGGCTATTCCCGGTAGGGGAGTCTCTCTCTCTCTTTCTTTCGGGCGAACTTTCCGTCCTGGACGTCTCGACGATAAGAGTTCACGAGGGTTCACTTTGCACTTCTTTTACTGCACTGTAACTGTCTCTCTCTCTCTCTCTTTCTATCTCGTTCTCGCGTGTTACGGCACTCGGCGCAACCGGAGTTCCACTCGCGATCAATCGATAAAATGCGTCGCGGAGAGGCGAGTATTTGGAACGATTCGCGTGACACTAACCGCGAAAAGACACTACGCTTCGCGAGGTCTTTTATTCTTTCCCTCTCCCTCGCTTCGTCGCCATCTCCACTGTCCTCACTTTCCTCAGGTCACTTGCCAGAGAGTCTGCGAGCGAACGTACCATGCAAGCGCTGACACTGATCTGTCGGTTGGAACTCGGGAGTTTCGAGTCCTCGCGCCAAGGCACCCCTTCTTCCCCCGCCGCACCTTTCCCCTCCCTCCGTGTCCGCCTGCTCGCCGCTTCCTTCGCCAGTCCTCACCACCCCCTCCGTCGTGCCGGCTCTTTGGGTGCTCCCTCTCTCTCACGCTCACCTAACACTCCTCCCCTCTCCCCGGTATTTGCTCTCTCTCTCTCTCTCTCTCGGACACAAGCGTGTTTCTTCTCGTTCTCTACCACTGTCTCTCCTTCACTTTCTCCGTCGTTCTCTCGAACGTCTTTCTCCCTTCTCATCCAACATACCGGCGAATCGCGTCTCTCTCCGTCTAATGTTCGAACTTTCTCTTTCTCCCGTACACGCTCCGTCGTTCCTTCATTCTCCCCTCGCTAGAAGAACCCTCGTTCTCTCTCGTTCATTTCGACGAGCGCGTCTGTCTTTCTCTCTCCCACCTATACGTATACACGTAAGTATCCTTCTCTTTTTCTATCCAATCTCTACCTCTCTCGCTCGACTCTCCCTTCTTCCTCATCCAAATGCTTGGCCGAAACGCAAGTCTGTCTCCCTCCTCTCTCTTTCCTTCGCACGCTCACTCCGGTCTCTCCTCGGCGCACCAATCCCACCACCTTTGTCGAAGCGGCTCGAGACAGCCAACCAAATTTGAGACGGCGAACACTCCTTGCCCCCACTACAAGCTTTCCTCCCGTCTCCCCCGTCTGTGCCCTTTCCACCGAATGTTTTGGACGTTCTCTTCCTTTGGCTCTACTCATCCCTCTCTCTCTCTTCTCTCTCTCTCTTTCCCTCCTCCTCTCACTCTCTCTCTCTCGCACTCTCTCAGTCTCACCTTCACCCCTCGACGCGAAAGAGGACGAATCCTGCAGGACGCTGTGTCTCCTCTCTCTTCGCAAGTTCCTCTTTTTCGGGCTCGATGCGCTCTCTTTCAATTCTGATACCCACCCTCACATCTCTCACCGTCCCTCACGTCCCTCACGATCCTACGTAGCGACTCGTCTTCGTTGTATTAGAGCGAACAGGATGGCGAGATGTGCGCATGGCACGAGAATCCTTGCTCGTCCGCACGCCCGTGTATCCTCGACGTTGTCCTTAATCACCAAACTTTATACGGCGAGATTTTTCGCCAACCCTTTCTCTCGAGGTCCTCGAGCTTCCGAGTTCGAGACACACTGATTCTTCGGGGAAACCCGTTGCGAGTTTTTTGTATAGCATCCCTTTGAAAAGAAATGAGTTTCTTCAGTATATTTTTTGCACTATACTCCGAACAAAAACCATTATACTGTAGAAACACAAATATCTCATGTTGTAAATGAATTTTCGTGAGAGATATGAACCGTTTTTTTGCTGAAATTCCCATAATTTTTTTCCCATAGAATTTTCCATAGAATTCTCATAATTTCTGTAGAGAAAGCGTCGTAAAAGTCTGGAAGCTTCTACGATCACATGTACGAGAAGAATGGAAAGTTGAAGAAAAAGAAATTTCGAATGGAAAATTTCGCTCTTTATCCTTGACGTTGGCATTTTAAACAACGAAGAACAAACGTAGATTTCACTCAAGTTAGCAGCAACAAGACATCGATCGGTGTGCGAAATTTCGAGCGATTTTCACCAGTCTGTTTCGCGGACGCTTCAAAATATACGCAAACAAATGCAATCTCGGCGGCAATTAACGTGTTAAAGGGATAATCGCGCGAGCCGATCCGCGGTCTCGCCTCTCCGTCCGCCGAAAAATTGCCCCGGCCGTCTCGAAGATCACCCAATTCCGCCGAGTAATAAACGTAACTCTCAACAGTTCACCTAACTTTTTATTAGGTCGAGCCACGAGGCCCCCTCGTAAGTGCCTGCATAAAAAGTGCGAGGGCATTATCCCGCGATAACCAAACTCTTTTTCTCACTCTCCTCCTCCTGCCCGCTCGTTACCCTCCCCTCTCCCCCCGTCTCACCGTCCTTTTCTTCCTTCGCCGAGTGCCCCCTCCCCCTCCGCCCCTCCTCGGCCCGCGAAGCGGTTTTGGCTGGATGAAAAAGAAAAAAGCACGCGAAACAAAGCAAAACAAAAAATGTGGGTAACCTTGCATTTTTTTATGATACCTTTTTTCCACGAGAGCTCGGCTCCTCGGCCCGTGCACTTTGCATACGGAATGCGACAAGTTCCTCTACCCCCGTCTCTCCCCCGACCCTTCGCCCGACCCGCCATCCCCCACTGCCTAACCCTTTGCGCCAACTATGAATATGTTTATTGCATTGCGCGGCGGCCACCTGATGCAGCGGGGGGAAGCTCGGCCACGTGTGTGGGCGATGCGCGGCACGTGGTGTCGCGAAGAATGAGCGTCGCGGCCGAGCCGGCGGCCGGCTGATCCTCGAGCGCGATCGGTATTATTTAACGTCGCGCGATCAAGAAAGAGCGAGGATTATAACGGTGCCCGCGAGATGCGAGCCGACGGATCGCTCCTCGGAGCGGAGGGGACTCGGAATCCGAGCTATTGGAAACGAGAGTTGCGGGAATCGCAGGGAGAGGGGAGGCCGGGTACGGGAAATTATCCCCGAATGTAATTATACCGCCTTGCGCGTCCTTATTGTCCCACTTTTATCACGCGCCTTGTCGCACCGACGACGATTTCCATCTGCCGCGAGACGCGATGCCGGGAGACTCGCGAACGCGTCTTCCTCGAGATCGACGATTACAATAGGGGGAAGTGCCGTGTTCTCTTTCTTGTTTTCTTTCTCTCTCTCTCTCTCGTCCTCGCGACAGCTCAATTCATTTATAATCACGCGACTCGCGGGGTATTTCTCGATCGCCTAATCGAATTCTCGGCCGCGTTCTCTTTTCTCTGCTTTCCTCTCTCTCTCTCTCTCTCTCTCTATTTTTTTCCTTCTTCATTTTTTTGTTCCACAATTCCCGTCCACCAGCGCGTCGGAATACGGCGAAAAGACCGTCCGCCAACGGGGAGGGTGGCGGTAGATTGAATCAGCCTAAGCAGCAGCCACCCTTCTACGGATTCCGCCCTGGCAACTGCCCTCCCCTTCTTCTCTGCTCTCCCCGCGCGCCATCCTCCGCTCGGCATTTTCGAGGTGGACGCCGAGCTGACCGAACCACTATCAGCTAGATATTCGCTGGCGTGGCGTTTGCGCCCCATTTTATTAAGGAAATCCCACCCCGGCGTCCGAATCTCTCTTCATGCCCCCGCGGTCCATCGTGCCACGAAGTCCTACGACGTAGGGGGAAGAGTTCTCCTCGTAACACGTGCGACGACGTGCACCTTTGTCCTTTTCTTCCTCTCGCCGCGCACATGCTGTTCCTTTCTCCTCTCTCTCTCTCTCTCTCTCTTTCTTCTCGTTCCCGTGTCATACTTTCTCTCTTTTCCTTCCCCTCTCTTTTTCTCCCTTGAGCGCGCGCGCCCGCGCGCTCGACGGAATTGTTTTCCCTGCGAATTTATCTCGCGGACACGAGAAAGAAGAGAGGAACGGCGACTTCACGACTCGCAAATCGTTCGACAGCGCGCAGCATATCGACGAGAACGACGCGTGTAACGAGGATTTCATTCGCGTATGGCCGAAGTCGATCGAGCTCCGCTCCGCGATCTCCGTCCCGTGTTTTTCTACCGGGAACCGCGTTCAATCGCAGAGACTTCGGTCGCATTGTTCAGCTCGTGATTAACGGATCGCGGATTGACGCAGGGTAAAAGATTTAACGCAATGATCAAATTTCGACTCGAGACGACACATTCGAGACGAAGATCGGTCAATTTCGTACGATTTAAAGCTTACCACACCTATTATAGACACCGTTTAACGCGCGATATTCACACAGCGCGAATTTCTTCGGGGGTGGTGGGGTGGGGAGGGGGGAGCATGACGGGGGAGGCCTGGCAAACCGCAATTCTC